GAACTCTTGGATAAACATACACCTTCAGTACTAATGTTACTTGATCTAGGTGCTGCCTTCGACACAATTGATCAGCAAAAACTACTTGGGCTATTAACTAGTGAAATAGGTATAATTGACTCAGCTCACAAGTGGTTTGAATCATTTTTAGTTACACAAAAAGTTAAAATTGGTAACTCATATTTCATGAACCAAGTTGTAAAATATGGAGCACCACAAGGTACAGTCCTGGGTACGCAACTCTTTAATATTTATATGAGACCACTATACAATTATCTGAACATAGCCAATGTTAAAAATTTTGCATACTCAGATGATCATCAAACTCTAATAACTCAGACTTCCTTTATCTTAATTTAATGCACTAGTTCTGGAACCTTTGGAACCTAATTCCGAGAGTTAGATTATTGTAACTCCTTCTACTTTGGGTCTGAAAAGACACTATTAAAAGTCTGTTCAAAATTGTGCAACAAGACTAGTATTTAAAACCAGAATAGAAAATCAAGTGAATCACCAGGAACTTAACAATCTGCATTGGGTGAAAATTATAGAAAGAACCTATTTCTTTAATAACCTATTTTAATGGAAATTATTATTATATATATAAATATGGAAGATTCCCAAATTGGTGTTTAACTGATTACAATGATTTTTAATGAAATTGTTTAAATTCAATTTAAATCTTTATACTTTTTGTAAATTTTTAATATTTAAAATTTATTTTTAATTCATCTGATTTCTCAAATAAATTTTTCACAAAAAAAAAAAAGAAAAAAAAGTTTCAACTAACACCTGACAGGATTTTTCCAGCTACCGCCAAAACTGCAAATGCTTTTTTCATCACTTTTTTATTTTATTGATAGTATATTATTATTTATTGAAAATCAACACATGTGGCAACCTTTGCCAATTTAGGAACAAACTATTATTTATTATTATTATATTCACAAATCTATTATATTGGAAGCGTCTATGTCATTATGCAACTTAACCAACTTAATTAATGTCAGAAAGAATACTAAAATTAAAGGAAATAAAATGCAGTAATTGATTCGGTAATCAAGCATTATTCCACTATGGTTCTTAACTTTGAAATATACTTCCAAATATCAACCGTGACAAAAAAAACACAACTATTTATAAGAAAAAATTAAAATCTTATTTAATGGGGAATGGTGAACTATTCCACAAATAAATTCTTGAATATTAAAATTTTTACTAATTTAATAATTTGTTGCTCAGCTGAGCAAGTGTTTCGCCAACTTATCCATTATTGTGGCAAAACACAGTAGCTGTGGATAAACCTATGTACTCATTTATTTTATTTATTTCAGATAAAGTATTTTACTATAACTATTTATGGATTTTACTATAACTATTTATGGATAACTATTTCAATAAATTCAAATAGAAACAATGTCAACTTATACAGACTCACATACAAACCAAAAAAAAATTAATTTGCATACTGGTTTCAATCCCTAGCAAGATTTCTGTTAGGGAAAAACTATCTGAATCTCAATTCAGATAGTTTTTTTTTTGCTTTTTTAATATTTCCAACTAGGAGTTACTTCATGAAGTAACACCAGGTATTATAAATTATCTTTAACCTTTTTCTGGTGTTTACTTCAGTCTATTTCAGGCTGTTAAACTGACAATGCATCGAACATTATTGAACATTTTTATAACATATAAACAGTGATACCCTAATAAAAATAAAGTTTGGATTTGATGTTGGTGGAAGCTATGCAACATTTAATTTAAAAAAAAAAGTGAGCTATAATAATATTATACTGATAATTTTCAATTTTCAATTGAAACATAAACAGGTTAACTAATATAGGTCCAAACTCACTAAATACTCCATTTAGTTACAGATAGCTAAGTCTTCAAATAAAAAAGAATCAAGAGAAACTCTTAAACCAATCTCTATCTTTAATTTAATGTAAAAGTGATAGAACAGCCATATTTGATGGATTCAGAAGCAGTAAAACTTAATTTAGGTTGGTAGTCCATATTGTGATCTGTAAACATACTCAAAAAAAACAGTGTTTAGATATTAAAAAAATTGCAAAGAATTGGTTTTGTAATCAATTGAGACAATATAGGTACATTTGATTATTTAGACTGCTTTACATGTGAAAGCTAGTGTTTTGATTGAATCACTTACCAGTGTTTCAAAATATTTTTTGAAGCAAGCAAAGACTTCATTACAAACAGATGTATTAAAAAAAAAATCAAGTATAAAATGGGACAACCCCAATATAACTAGAATAGAAGGAACAACAGGAGGTAATATAACAAAAGAACTATTTCACAAGAAAGTAAACATGGATTAAATTAGCATGCATTAAAAAATTGCACAATTAACTGTTTAATATCATGCAACATTTCAAAGGCTTGGACTGATGATGTTAATCAATATAAAAGCTATTATCCAGACTTTGATATAATCCTAGTAAGCTTTATATTTTACATAAATAAATTTACCATGGATTAGTATAACACTATCACTGCACAAAATATTAATTCCTTTATGGGAGCTTATATTGAACAATGAGAGAAGTGGTTTGTAAAATTTTGTTTAGTCAGGGTTAGAAGGCAATTACATAATATTAAGATCAACACAAACTCAACCATCAAGAAAAAACTCCCAAACTTTCAAATAAACCAACACCATGGACCAACATCAAACCAATAAATCAACATCAATGGACCAAAAATCAAACCAATAAACCAACATCATCTTATCCTACTATTTGTTATCAGCAATGCAAATCAAGTAATTCTGCAAATTTTTGCAATGAAAGAGGGGATTCTGATCCATTTTGTTATAAACAAAATGGCTTTAACAACATTTTATCGGAAGATGACAAATTTTGAAATGTTAACTTAAAAATAAATGTATTTACGTATTTTAGTACTTATTTTAACAATTATTTTTGTCATATATATCTATGTATTACAAAATATACATACAGATTTATATATACTTTTATGTATTTTCGTCAAACCTAATAAAAAGAGAAAGTTTTTTGAAAGTTTTTTTTTTTGTCCTATTAAAAAATTAAGTCATGAATTTAACAAATAAAAACGTTTATAAAAAACTCTCAATTAACCTCATAACAATTACTATTTAAAAGATATAAACAAATGTTCATGAAAACAGCTGTTTGGCCCACATTGTATGGAGGAGACCATTTTTATGTTGAAACTTTTATTTTGAAATATGATGTAAATTCATTTGAATTAAAGGATCTAAAAGAGCTAAAGAATCAGGAGTAAAAAATTGGTATTGGTAAATGATAGCCTCTCTTTAAAATGGCAAGCACTATAAGGAGAGGCAACCAAAGCAGATGCCAATTTTACATTGGATTTAATATATGACTTTGAGTAAAGAACATTATCTTTCACAGTAACAAAGGATATAACTCTACAACTATTTTTTTCTAGTGATTCTCACATTAATAGTGGTTGTTTGCAGCCTTGTTGGGAGTGAATTGGTATAAAAAATTACAAAATAATGAAAACTTAGTTACTTGTTGTCATTCATAGTAAAGAAAATCTATAATATTGGGATATCATAAAGATTGAATCATTATCTAACAAGGTCACTTTAGCAGTATAGTTATAATGGTAGCCTCTCCTTATACAGGCTTGGACAGGAATGGCATGCGATCGCACTCTGTAACTGACCACGCTAATTCTTTTTCTTTACAACTTGACCATGGCTATTTTAATGTTTTAACAATTTAAATGCAATAAAAAGTGTTACATTGTGAACAACATTTAATCGTTTATCTTTTCTAAAGTTTTTATCTAAAGTGAAGACTTTAAAAAAAAACCATATAATTAATTCTTTTTTTAATGATTGTTTACATAAACACGTAGGAATGTAGGAAAAATGTAGGAATGTATTTTTCATGATATATTTAAATGCTTGAAACTATTTTCCCATGTCTTCCTAAAAATCTTTTAAAGCATTAATTTAGGAAAGATTTTTTTAAAGTTATTTTAATTTATGAATAAGTTAAAAACCTTTTGCGACTACTAGCGTTTACACATTTACATTTAGCTTTTAAATGTGAACTATACAAGAATATAAAATAACTTTATTTACGTATATAAGCATGTATTTTGTAATGTTCATAAGATTAATTTTTATAATTAAAATAACAATTTTTTAAAATCTTTTAAAAACAAACATTTTATTTTTTGAAAAAAAATTTTTTTTTTCAATTACGATAGGAATGAATGAGTTAAAATCATTTATAATAATTTTTAAATTTGTGTAACTTGAAGCATTTTGCGTAACTTGATTAGAATATTAAAAAAGATTTATTTCAAACGTAATTAAAAACGTAACAAAAAGTTTCGCTTTGAGTTTAAGTTTTTATTTTTAATTTTTATTTTAGTGCTTATATAATTTCTTTTTCGCAAATAATTTTTTTTCGTCGTTTTTGTTAGTTTTATTTTTAACTTTTTTGCTTGTTTAAGTTTAACTTGGCGTTTCTACATTAAGCGCATTTTTGAAAATTTTAAATCATTAAAACATATAAGCAATCGTGGTTGAGTTGTCAAGAAATAAAATCATTTGCATGGTATCAAATAGCGCTCGATTGTACGCCATTCCTGTCCAAGCTTGCATAGTGTTTGGTAGACTCTCCTTATAGTGTTATCATAAATTATTAAATTAATAGTACAAAAAACTAGATCAGAAATTTTATTTTTATTTAGAAAGTCATTTATTTTATTAATTCATATTTTTTTAATAAAAGATTTTGGTAAAAACAGTTAAAAGAAAATTGACAATAATTCTTAATTCAAGTTTAAAAGTGGTCTTTTTTTAAAACAAGGTTCAGGTAAACACTTGTTCAATATTCTTCAGAGTACTAAAAAGTCTAACAAATTCTTTTGCATGACTGTGAAAGAGGTGTTGTCAACAGTAGATAGTATATATCTAACACACTGTATAAATTATAAAAATTTACTTTTTTTACCTTTGAGCTGAGACACAAATTGATCTATGTAATCTTTAACCTTCTCCAAACCAATCATAAACACTGGAACACCGTAGGCTGGCTGTCTTGAGAAATTGTCACTCGGATAAATAAGACGTTGATATAGAATACTAAAAGCCAAATAATAATTACAAAGAAATATAAGAGTTGAAAATAGTTAACAGTATCATTAAAAATCCTTACAAAAAAATCAAAGATCCGTCTGATAAGTTCATACAAAAAATTCAAAATTAAATATTTGAATTATTTCAAATATTTACTTTCATAAATAATATATAAATTAACAAGCTCTTGAGTCAAATGAGCCACACACCTAAAACTGATTTGGAAAATAACATTTAACAGGAAGCTAATTCAAAGATTTAAAATATGTAAAAAAAAAAAAAAAAAAGAAATATGAAAAAAACATACCTATTCACACTGTAATCTACAAATAAAAATATATATATATATATATATATATATATATATATATATATATATATATATATATACACATACACACACATAATTATAATTTTTATTCTAGAAAAATGAAAAGTATATATTTAAATGAAAAGTTAAAATGTAGCAGAAATTTAAAAAATATGACAAAAATAATTTTCAAAAAATAAATGAATTTTTTTAAAAAGAAAAAGTTTAACAGCTTTTTTGTGTGTGTGTGTGTGTATTAAAATCAAAAAACACTAACAGTTATTTTTACTTATAAATATTTATATTAAATTATAAATATTTATATGCCTTCTCAATTTCAGTATACTTATATTTAACATATACTAACTCAGCGATTAACTATTTTCACTGTGTAGTGAGTTAATTAAATGTTTACAGTTTTTGTTTTCAGCCATTTCGATAGTATGGGGATACACTACATTTCGATAGTTTGGGAATACACTACACTAACTAAAATTAAATTGCAAACATTTAAACTTTAAAAAAATGAAGAATCAAAAAATGTAAAGACAATAAAACTTGCAAAGGAATTCTCTGATCTTGTTGTATTATGTAAATTAGTGTGTTTTCAAAACTTTACTTTTTCTTCTGAACAGCATAAGTGTTTGAATTTTAAAGTTATTTTGAATATTTAATTTGAAAAAAAGTTCATTAACAGCTTTATTAATTGCAAGAAAAAAATTAAAATTATTTATCAAAGCCAAGTTGTATGGTAAGAATGAAATCTAAAAATAATATATTTTACAATCTAAACAAAGTTTTGATTATTCTTTAATTATTTAGATCAATTTATTTATTAATTTCTTCTTTTTATCACCCAAAAATACAGGCAAAAATACAGAAGTCATAAAACTAATAGTTTATACTCTAAGTTAAAATTCTAATTTAGATTCTTCTTGGAATGCTTTCTTCCATTAAACTTTTGAATATCATTTTCTGCTCTCTGATGTTTTAGAATTCAAAGAATCAGTTTAAAATTTCTTCTACTTCATCGTTATGACGCTTGATAATGATTTTACCCCCCTTAATCAAACACTGCATGAAGCTTAGTTCGGTTGCAAATTTTTATTATTTCATTAATAAAGCAGTTTTCCTTATTAACATTAGATATTTCAATTAAAATCAAGGAAAGACAAGTCGGATTGCTGACAAACAGATTCAATTTGTTTTGAACAAGGATGGTAGATACATCATCGATTTTAAAGTAGGAATGCAGATAGTTTTTGCTGTATTTTGAAATACTAAAGAGAAATTTTAATGCTGATCTTCCAACAGTGTCTAATTTATTAAGAAAAGTATTGCTATAATCACAAATTTCTAATCCATATGATAGATTTAGTATAGCCAAAGATTTGAACAAATGCACTATAGTTACTGGTTGACAAAAACGAATTCCAGATTTTATAAGAGCTCTGGAGATTGATTGAAATTAAATAATTCTTTCGTTTACATTTGCTGATTGGATTGTAGCTATATTTTGTCCATGGCCTTGATTTTCCCATAAGAATCCGAGGTGTTTCAGTTTATTATTGAATTTCAGGAAAAAACCGTTAATTTGTATTATGTTTTTTGTAACCAAACTTTTACCGGAGATAATGAACTCGGTTTATTCTGTGTTTAATTTGATATAGAGTTTTTGACATTGTTTTTGAACTTTATTAATCAACTCTTGTAGCCCAGAAAGAGTAAGACTTTGCAGGATTATATCATCTGCATAAGCAATAATACCAGTGTATAAACCCATTACTGTTGTTCTAACTTTACAATCGGAAACAATTTGACTTAATATACTTTCAGTGTAAATGAAAGTATATTAAGTCAAACTTGTCACACACCTTGAGGCAAGCGAAAATTATTTGATTTATGTCCAAGGTATGATATATTAGCTGTACCCGAGCTGTATAATGATTGTAGTGCGCAAACTACTGATAGCGGTATATTTTTGTTGTAATAAAGTTTCTCAAACAGCAAATCCCAGTTACAGCTATCAAAAAACTATGCGTCTAAACTACAGATATATACTGGTGAGTTATTATTATTATAATTTTTAAATAAAATACTCTTAAAATACAATTAAATTGTCGGAAGTTGATAAGAGTATTTTAGTAGGTTTAACTATAAGTTGGGGAATATTGCGGTATTCGGAATTGTTGTTAGAAATTGTGGGAGTGTTGAGAATTGTATTAAAGTCCTGTCAAATTACTTCTAAAAATACAAGTGTTCGGACTAGATTTAATTTTTCGGATATTGTTCTAAAACTTTTGAGGATTAGTTTTTCAAAGATATTCAATGTTTTTGGCAATTTTATTAATTTTTAGGTTATGAGCTGCTTTTACTGTTTTACGAAAATTTTTACAAGCTAGCTTGTATTTATTAAATGAAATGGATTCCTGCGATCTGTTATAGTTACATTTTTTCTATCATTTAAAGTGGATAATATAACATAAAAAAAGATTTATCTAAAATTTTAAAAAAAGATTCTTTAAAGTGGATAATATAAAATAAAAAAAGATTTTTTCATACAAAGAAAAAAGTTAAAAGCTAAGACAAAAAAAAAAAATCTCCCCTACCCTCCCCCAAATAAAAAATAGAGCAAAACAATATTTTTTTTCTATAAAAAATTATTTTAAAATCATAATTTTAAAAATTAATTATTTTGACACTAACAAATAGTTATTGTTTTTAGCCATGTCGACAAGTCAAGATGCATAACATTGATATCGATAAAACTACTCAAAACACATCTTTCAAGGAAAAGCCAGAAAATGAAAAGAGACTAAAAAAAAAAAGAGATTTTCGATATCAAAAAAAAATCTTATAGAAATCATTGCAGACCTTGCAACAAATGAAATATCTATAAAAGCAATAAACAAAAATAGTTATAAAAAGCAATCAATATCTTGAGATAGATACAAGCTTCCAACAACAGAACTTGATGAATGAAATTTTCACAATGATTACAAGTAAAAGAGAAACACCATGATTATGAACATCCAGAAAAAAGTCAAAAATGAAGTAAAATGCAACATATACGTTGATAACTATATCACTGTAAAAAAAAAAAAACATTTATTGGTGTGAATCTTCACAGCAGTAATGAAAAAATGACATGTTGTATTCTTGTAATGTGTATTATCAGCTCATGTTCTGCTCTCAATATGGTAGATGCAATTGGACAACATTGCACCTACAATATTAAGACAAGGTATTGTTGGATTGACGCAAGATGGAGCTGCTATGAATTAAAAAAATATTGATAACGTTAATATCATCAGCCAATTTTGTATTATTTGCAATTTGCACTTGGAAGTTATATTAAAGATAAATTTTTATAAGCAAAATTTGGCTGTAAAATTGATGATATTGACAACTTTGATAATGTTATGGATATGGAAATTATAAGCAGTGATGTAATTAAACAAAAGACATGAATTATCATGACCTTTAAAAGAATTTGAGAAAACTTGTAAAATTCATTAGGAAATCCACAGTTCACTGTGACACCTTTTTAAGCAAGGTAAAGCACAAATTCGGTCATGAGATAGAGCTTTATCTTGATGTAAAAACTCAATGAATTTCTATTCCAACTAAACCACTAAACTAGATGGTAAAAGTACTGAGCCACTAATCTAGATATTAAAAGTAATTCAAGAAACTAAATTCAAAGTGATGGACAAATTAGAAATATTAAACTTTTTTGCTCTAAAAGTCCATGAAGCCCGTTAAATAGCTGTTGATAATTTAGGTGTGTAGATGTTCGAGAATGCTGAAAAAAAATATCACAGTTCAATAAACTTTATGATTTGAACAGCAGAATTTTTTTTTTAATTTCCAATCTACAACCAACAAGGCTGCAACCAACCAATATTAAGTTGGGAGTTACTGAAAAACAAAAACTAGACTTAAAGAGCAAGGAAATGGTTGGCAGAATACTTCAAAAATTGTAGGTTTTATGAGTCAGGAAAACATGAAGATGGAAGAGAGTTCCAAACTTTAATACTTTGGAACTCTCAGGGGAAAAAACTGGACAAATAAAAGATTTCAGAGAAGGAGAATACAGTGAAAAAAAGTGACTCTGCTGAATGAGTCAAGCAAGAATGAGTTTTGGAGAAGCCTTGAGGCACCCGAGAAGTTACTGGAAATGAAAAAGATTGTTGGCCTTCGAGGATGGCTTTAATAAAATGGTTAGAAAAAATGTTTGATAATCTCAAAAACTTTCCCAAATAATTCTTTCACCATAAGAAGCAAGCTTATAGAGAAGACCAGCTTGCCAAACTTTTTTAAAAGCTTTAGATATTTCAAGAGCAATAGTTTTTTTGCTTTGCTGCCTTTATCTAATGCACAACAAAACCTTTCAGTCACAGCATTTAGCAAGTCAGTCGTAGAACAAAAAGGTCGAAAACTGTATTTTTGTCTGACAGTAAGTTATTTTACTCAAGAAGAGATGTTGGAAATTTGTAAATCAAAGACTCAAAGCTAATAAATGAAGAAAAGACTTATTGTACAATAGTTAGAGGGGTCAGATTAAAAGAATTCAAAATGTATTGTGTTAAGGGGAAAATTTAAACCCTCATAAAATGACATGGATGACAACACATCAAACCACTGAGCTATCGAAGTTATGCAAAAATAAAACAAATTATTTTATAAATCTCTTATAAACTTTACTTTTATTTTTTTAATGAATTGTTTTGCTACCATTGACTAAAATGTTGAAGTAAATAAGGAATAAGTAAAGAAAAGATCTGTGTGGAATATATACGTTTAGAAATAGTCGGCTTGGTAAAGACCCAAAATGGACAGCTAGAATTTATAATGAAAAACTATAGAAAAAAGGTTGGTGTGGAGCAGACTTGAAAAAAAGACCAGTATTTTTACGGGTCCAGTTAGCTAGCATATATGGTAATCCTACAGTTAAGCGGCCTAAAATAATTTAATTTTTGGGTTCTACATCATTGAAACTTTTAAAATATC